ATTCCTGCTGATGGTCAGCCACCCGAAAGCTTGCAGCTTGCGGCCGAAGTTTTACTTGCCGACATCTCGGACGACGTTGGATGTCGAGCCCAGCACGCCACCTTGGCCAGCAGAATTGTCAACGAGCTCTTGTCAACTGGTCATATTGAAGCGGCAACAGAGGTATTTAACAAGTCCAGGCAGGTTTGTCGCCTTGGGACAGCTACTACCGTGAGGTTCATGGGCCGCCTCCGCCGTGGAGACTGGCACGCCGAAGCGATCGACACCTTTGTAGGCCTGCGCACAGCGCATCTCGACAACACATCAGATCTTCAGAAGCTTTGCGATAGGATCCTTCACTCAGTGCTGCAAACAAAGGGATACGGCGCTGCCGAGGTGCTACGGACATGGCAGTGGCTACACGATAACGCCGGAGTGAGGATCCTGCCCAGCTGGCCGGTCAGAATTCTGCGCGCACATTGGCGTGGGTCGCAAAAGTACCGAGAATCCCGCGAGATTTATCAAGAACTGCGAGACAAGGAGTTCTGTGGGATCAAAGACACCTACAGCATACGATCAACAATGATCCAGATTGCGCTTGAAGCGGATGACGCGGTGCAAGCCAGTGTCTTATTCGCAGAACTCCTCGCTCTATCACCTAAGGCCGGAACTGATGTCGAGCTGACCTGTGCCTTTGCGAAACACGATGCGATGAAGTCCAAGTGGGGCAGTGTCAAGTCCAGATTTGAGAAGGTCAATAACCAGGGCTCACAAAGACGAGCAACAAGCATACGACGCCGGTTTTGGTGCCGTCCTGTCAGAGTACGCCAAGAGCCACACTTGGGGCGAAACGGAGGAATTTGTGGAAGAATACACACAAAAACTTAGAGTGTCGCTCGATGATACTCTCGTAAACTTCATCGCGGACAAGCATGGAAGATGTCGCGAATTCAAGGCCTTAGACCAGTGGCTCAGTTATTGCAAAGACGCCGGCTTCGTCACAACGGCCGCATTCTGGAAGTCTATGCTGGTCAAGTGCAAGAAGCAATGGGGCTATGGCGAGGTTGAGGCAGCGTCTCTCTTCAAGACTCTGCAAGAGCAAGATATCGAGTCGGACTTTCCGGAGGCGGAGGCGGTGGTCAGGAGCATGATGATACCGATACAACGGGAGTTCCCTACGAAGCGAATCCGCATCGCTACGCCAAAGCGACCTATGGACATTGGATCGACATTCGAACGAATGAAACTGGATGCCCAGAAAGGCCAGTGGAATAGTGTTCTCAGCACCTACAACCGCGCCGTGCGCAACGGGCAGGGTTACTCAAGCGGCTGTCTTCAGCTCGCCGTGCAAGCCAGCATGAAGGTCAACGAACCATCGACGGAGCACGCCGTGTCGTTGATTAGCAAGGCGCAGAGCGATGGTCACGACATTAGCAATGCCATGGTGCCTCTCGTGTTGGCGGATCTGGATGAGATCCAGGCCGTGGGCCAACAGATGAGGGACAGCAGCGAGGCCCGCGCATCGGGCCCGGCAGCGGTGCGGCCGTTCCCGGCGATCCAGCGCCTTTTTTCGGATCTTCTTGAGCAGGGCCATCAAATCGACAACTTTGTGTTCCACCGGGCGGCGCAGGTGTGCCTGGCGCTGCGCAACTACCGCGAGGTCGTGACGATCTGCGTGTTCGCGGCACAGTGCAACGGGTCACGGGACCTGGCGTACAGTGTGTGGAACTTTTCGGACCTGTGCCAGGCGTTCACCAAGCAGCACGAATACGTGCGGCTCCGGTGGCTCATGAGCGACGTTCTGGGTCGCGACTACAGGATGACGAAGCAGTGCCGAACGAGCCTCAAGTGGGTGGTGCACTACCTGAAGAGGGCGTCCCAGGCCGACAAGGCCGAGGATCTCAAGGCGTCAGACCTATCGATGCTGGCCTGTGTTGAGGAGACGTTGAAGAAGGTGACCAAGGAGAAGGCTCAGTGGAAGGCGAGCGAGCGGGCCAATGTCGCACAGATTGTGGCGCGCCAGAACGAGAAACAAGCACGCACACGCAGGACAGAGACAGGAGGTCTTGATTATTACGCCCCGTTGCGCCGAGGTCTGGACGGAAAGCCGTCACGATGGTCGGGGCGAGTGGAGGAAGAACAAGAAGACGGATCTACGGCTGTCGGCAACAAGACCGAGGCATAGAGACGAGGTGTACATTACTGTGCTATTTAGAGCAGCAGCGTTGGTGGCAGCATTGTATCAGTAAAGCTGTCTGCGTTAGATGTAAACCCTACGTTAGGCACGCCGTTGGGCGTGAAATGTACAGCCTCTTTGTGTATGCATGGGCTTGGGCATGCTGGCAAGCTCTGATCATGTTGCTGCTGATGTTGGGCGTGGTTGGCTTCTGAATTACATAAGCTACCTATCATATGTGCCCGACCCATGTCTCGAGCAATGGATGGAGGACGCGGCATGTGTCGAACGATACAAAAGCCAGGAACGCATCCATGACGAGCATGCGAGCATGTGAAGGAGGGGCCTAGTCAGGGCGCTGGGGGCGGTGAGTGGGCCACGAAAGCCAGCAGGGGGGCTTAGTGGGATCGCATAGGGGGGGGCCACAGGGACGGACCCGAGATACCACAGTGGGTTACAGGGTCCACACGGTAAACAGCCTCGAGGCATGCCTTAGGGGGGCAAAGGGGGGGGGGGGCAAAGGGGTCAGAAGCAGGCTCGTCATTGGCCCGATCTGCAGACGGTGGGAGCCGTCATGGCTGTCGGACGACTGTTGGCCCCTAATGGCCAGGAATGGCCCCAGATGGTCCCTGTCTTTAATTTTCTCCAGGCCGCCTGCCCACCTCATTGATCTATGAGCAGACCACTTTCCACCGCCATCCCACCCGTCGTCGGCCGACGAACGATTTAATCGTCCTATCCTCTCTTCGCATGCTCGCGAGCTCGATCTCCCTTGGTTTTTGTTAGCATTTAATATTTATTAGTTTCTTGCGAGACAACTACGCTGACGCTGCTTCAATCACCCAACGTCTACTCGATCGAGTCTTCCACCCCCCTCTTCCAAGATCTTGAGAGCCCCCCTCGATCTCGATCGTCGACAGTTCTTCTATGGCCTCAATCCAACCTCAGACCGTCACACAAGCCGCCCTCAACACACCGCATCTCCCAATGAGTACCACAACAACAACTTCGACGACAACGGCAACGGCCGACGCTCGTGCCGAGCGTCGTGCGCAATATCATGAGGCCGACGTGGTAGTGGTTGGTGCCGGCATCTTTGGCTGTGCCGTCGCCTACGCCATGGGCCAGCAGGGCCGCAGTGTCCTGCTGCTCGAGCGCTGGATGAAGGAGCCCGACCGTATCGTCGGTGAGCTGCTGCAGCCTGGTGGTGTCGCCGCCCTGCGCAAGCTTGGCCTCGGCCACTGCCTCGAGGGCATCGACTCGATCCCCTGTTATGGTTTTGACGTCACCTTCCACGGCGAGTCCTGCAATATTCCCTTTCCATCTCTCGACGAGAACGGGCGACGTCGTCATCTTGCCGGGCACGCGATGCGAATGCCACGACGCCCAACGCCAAGAAGACACAGGGTCGCGCCTTCCATCACGGACGCTTCGTCGCCAACCTGCGCCGCGCGTGCCAAGGCCAGAAAGAACATCACCGTCGTCGAGACCGAGGTGACGGGCATGATCCGTGGCGAGGAGTCGGACCAGGTTCTCGGTGTCACAGCCCGCACTATCAACCCTTCGAGCGGCGAGAAGGAGGCCGACTACTTCTTCGGCCAGCTCACCATTATTGCCGACGGCTACGCCTCAAAGTTCCGAAAGGACCTTATCCCCCAGCAGCCCGTTGTCAAGTCCAAGTTCTACGCCCTCGAGCTCGTCGACGCCCCGCTGCCGAGCCCACGCTTCGGCCACGTCTTTATTGGAGGAGCCTATCCTGTTCTCATGTACCAGATTGGCAGCCACGAGACGCGTGCTCTCATCGACGTCCCTGCCAACATCCCCGAGGCTGCCCCGGCCGCTGGTGGCGTCCGCGGCTACATCTCTAACTGCGTACTGCCCTCGCTTCCGCCCCAGCTGCAGCCCTGTGTGGCGGCGGCGCTCGAGGATGGCAAAATCCCGCGCTCCATGCCCAACTCGTGGTTGCCGCCTTCGCGCCAGCCGCGGACCCAGGGCGTTCTCCTCCTCGGCGACGCCATGAACATGCGTCACCCCCTGACGGGCGGAGGCATGACCGTGGCGTTCAACGATGCCGTCCTCGTCACCGACCTCCTGCATCCGGACGTCATCCCCGACCTCGGCGACGGCGCCGCCGTCCGCCGGGCCATGGACACGTTCCACTGGCGCCGCAAGTCCCTGACCTGCATCATCAACGTCCTGGCCCAGGCCCTCTACAGCCTCTTCGCCGCCGACGACCGCCTCCTGCGCGCCCTGCAAAAGGGCTGCTTTGATTACTTCAAGCGTGGCCACGCCACTGTGCCCATGGGTCTCATGGGCGGCCTCATCCAGCGCCCTGCCATCCTCGCCTACCACTTCTTCACCGTCGCCTTTGTCGCCATCTGGATCAACGCCTGCGACCTCGTCTCCGGCCCGCTCGGCTTCCTCAAGGCCCCGCTCGCCGCCGTCGACGCCATTCTCATCCTGTGGAAGGCGAGCATGGTCTTCCTGCCGCTCATCTTCCGCGAGGCGCAATAAGATGCCCCGGAGTGAATTGCGAGAAGACAAACCAAAGGCGAGAGTATGGACCAGCGGTCGCTTGACCGCTTGATGATGAGGCATGCGATATAGGGATTGTATTTGTTTTCTTTGCTTGGTTAAAGATACCTGGAGCCTCTGTCAGGGGGCATTTGTACATATACTTTTTGTTCTCCCTCGGTGTTACCCGGGGCGGCGTCGTGGTGTGGAGTTGTTTGGCTCGGTATCATCCTGTGAGAGAAGAAAAGAGAGAGAAGAGAATGAAAGGGGAACATAGTATAATGTAATCAATCAAGTTCTGCTGCCACGGCAGATGGCAGCAGTTGCTTCAGGAGCATATATTCTCGCGTCACCATGTTAATGTCACCATCTCAGTGTGATTCAAGGAAGGAACAAATGCAGTCGTGATTCATCATTCGGATCATATCCGTGGGCCAGCAGGTCTGTCTACTCTGTGTACATTTTCTTACCCTCGAGACACTATAGTGCAGGGCACTACGTCAATCGCCGGCGGTAGACGCCCATCATCCAGCTGGCACGCAGGACGGCGAGGCCGACGGCCATGCGGATGCTGTCGGCGATGAGGCTGACCTTGGAGCCGTCGACCTCATGCCAGTCAATGGGAACCTCGGCGACACGGATGCCGGGGCTGGTGCCGATAACAGCGCCGTCGGCACCGAGGACGGGGGCGGGGGGCGCGCTCTCGGCAAGGAGGAGCATCTCGATATCGAAGATCCAGCCCTCGGCATGCATGTAGGGGACGACGTGGGGCAGGGCGGCGCGCGTGAAGAGTTTGAAGCCGCACTGCGTGTCGGCGAGGCGGCTCGTGGCGGGGGGCGTGAGGATGGTGAGGACGAGGTGGAAGGAGCGCATGAGGAAGTTGCGGACGAAGGAGCGCTGGACGACGGCGGCCGAGCCGACGAGGTGGGCGCGCGAGCCAATGGCGACGCCGCGGTGGGCGCCGTCGACGACCTCCTCGGCGCGCGCTCGATGAGCTTGCCAAGGTCGCTGAAGCGGGAGGCGCCGTCAGGAA